GTCATTTATTTCAGTCTGTTTACCATATAGGACATTAGTTATCAAACATGGGTCATTGTGTAAAAGTGGAAATATGACGAATTCTCTGTTTTTAGGGTTTCACCTTATATCACATTCTTGTGGATTTAAAAAGTTGTCCTTGTCTGATTCCAGAAAAAACTTTTTTTAAAATCACTAGTAATCAAAACTGAGGAAATTTGCAATGCCTGTTGATGTAAAGTCAGGATTTAATGGCTGACATGCCTCTTCATCACTGTGTGCAGGTCTGGACCAGTGCCCTGTGACTGGCAGACTGGAGTGGTGGTTGGAGGAAGTGGAAAAATGCAAGGGGCAAGTTTGTGTTACAACGGAGGGACATGAGGGAGAAAAAGAGCGGGGATCCAGGTGGAAAAAGGGTCCTAGCGTTCTCACACACTAGAGACTGACACAGGAGTGGATTTTCACTCCTGTCCCGTCCCACTCCCACAGAAAAAAAATGTGTCCCGTCCCGATCCCGGGCCAGAGTAGAAATCTAAATCCTGTCCTGTCCCACTCCTGGTGAAATTACTCCCACTCCCATCCCGCTCCCATTCAGAATGACTCCCGCTCCTGCACCACTCCCATTCTTGTTGTCCTCAATAAGATTTCTGCCAATACATTGAATCTGAATTCCTATGAAGGGTCAGTTAAGTTCCTGTTTCTAACTGTAGTAATTGTTGGTCCCTCCATTGTTGTTTTTGAGCGCGGGTGAAAAACTCAGAGCGGAATCACTGTTGGTTTTTGGGTCGTGTAGTTTTTTTGACTCGCATTATAGTGTAGGCTTCAAGGAAAAAAACGACCAAATGGCGGCGCCGCGCCATTTGGTCGTTTTTATTTTATTTTTTGGCATCGATCCTAGTTTTTTTTTTAGTTACTATTGGTTTGCTCCCGCTCCCGTCTATTCCCGTTAATGTTTAATCCTGTACCGTCCCAATCATGTGATCGTTACTAATACTGACTCCCATCCCACGGGAATCCCGAAAAAATGTCAGTCTCTATCACGCACCTCGCTCTTCTAGCTGATCCATCTTCGCGAGTCGTTTTCCACAATGGCGGTCATACAAACAAAACAAAGCCGTTAAGGTACCAAACAGGAAATACGCATAGTGTAGAGAAGATATAGATTTGACCAATCAGAGGCCTCCTGTCTGCAGTCGCCTACAATTTTGGAGAGGTGCAACAGAGTGTCTGAGGCAGGGGCACATTTGCATTCACTGCGACACACACGCCGACAACCTGGTGTCGGAGTATAAATCAGCCTTAAGGCCTAGGTCAGGCTGCTGGAGAGGAAAGTCCAGGTGTCCAGGAGAGCAGCGGACCAGCTCTACACCCTCTGCAGGCTTCTCCCTGGTTCATGGGTGTTTGCCCAACTGGTCCACATGTGTTTTGTTGACCTGGCATTCAACATTGTCCCTCATGGTGCCCTGTAAGGGGCGCTCCATGAGTACCCTTTACTAGGGGCCATTCGGTTGCTGTACAAGCAGAGCGGGCATTAGGTCAGACCTATTTCCAGTCCATGACTCCTCCAGTGTTGCACTCTGTCACTGGTCCTGCTCAGAACCTTCATGCACAGGATTTCTAGGTGCAGCCAAGGACCAGAGAGGGTCTGGTTTGGGGACCATCAGATTTCCTTCCTGCGTTTTTTCGATGATGACGTTGTTCTTCTGGCTCCCTCCTGCCAAGACCTGCAACATACACTACGATGGTTCATAGCTGAGTGCAAAGCGATAGAGATGAAGATCAACTCCTCCAAGTTCAGGGCCACATGATTTTATACATGTAACATACACAACATTTCCTCCTCACTTTTCAATAGTTTTTAGATCAAATCATGATCAGTTCATGGACAGATTCAAGAAATAGGTTTCCATGGACAAGCAGCTGCAACCGAGACATGCATCACCGATGGATCCATGTTCTCCACAGGCTGGAAATCCAAGAGAAAACTGAGGCACTGGCATCAACTCTAAAGGAGTTTAAGCTCTCATAGCTGCAAGCTTGACTGACTTTATATTAAACCCCTGGATTAAGAATGGGATGCTGCCTAAATTGGATGCATCTCTGAAGGCAGCTTTTCCTATCCTCTTTACAAAATGAATGTATCTTCAGGGCTTAATAGCTGAACCTAGTCAACTATTTTGGAGCAGCATATTGAGGCTGATCTGAAGAGAGAAATCCATTTAGGTTGAAATATTCGAGAAAGAAAACAGGTGGAATGGATGGGTCGGGCATCACTGCTGTCGACACAATTGGAGTAAATGTGTTCAGAATATTACCTAATAAGGTTAATTTGAAGACATTTTGAGACAGTCACCAACAATCAGATGTTTCTGATGGCTAGCTGAAAACAAATGTTTTACTTACCTTTCTAAAGGGCCTCAAAATCAGCTGCAAAGTGTTAAAGATGCTCTGCTTTCGTTTTAACTCCCCCTACGACACACACTCCCACCTTCGTTGACATGTAAACACGCTCTCTGTCTGCTGATATCAGACTAAAATGTGGATAGAATCAGAAAAACTCTTGTCCTGATTTTTTTCCGGCTTCCTTTTTATTCCCAAACACAAACACAGGCGTGCCACTCAATCTCTTCCTCGCCGAAGCACACGCCGTCTTAGAGACACCCACATAATCTCTTTCTCATACAGGCAGCAAACACACATTGGCAGCGATAAACAATCCCAAGGCTTCTGTCTGACAAAGCTCCCCTTCATCCTCTGTCAAAGGCCCGTTTGTCTCAGAAAGATGCTCAGTGGTCCTGAAGAACACAAACCAGTGGCGAAATTCACAAATCATTTTAACATCGTCTCGATATTCTGTCGCATAAATCAAAGAGCTCCACAAAGTTCTCTGCTCGTAGACGATGTTATATTTTATAGAGTTTATTGCAAATTTCTCAGCATGTATTCCTTGAAGCTCAGCACATACAACGCTGGGGGAAAAAAACCCATATGTCTCCTTTATGATTTCCCCCAGTTATGCTTTTTTCACACTTAGAAGAGACTAAACTTTTCATTTGCCAGTTAGAAAAAAATCAGGCTGCTTGTTCTGGATGAAACAGACCAGAGTTGATTTACTCTCTGCAAAAACGATCTAGAAATAAGTACAATGTCTTAAATCAAGTGTATTTACCCTCAATTTGAGTATATATATATAAGATGATTTATCAATAGAATGAGTAATTTTACGCTTACAATAAGATAATTGGATAATATCAACTTTAAATAAAACAATGCAATTGTTTTTTTTTTTGTCTTATTTTAAATGTAAATCATCTTGTTCCATTGGCAAGGTGGCTCACTTACCTCCTCAATTCAAGAACAAAGGCAGTTATTTTAAGAAAAAAATTGTTTTTTGCAGTTCTTTTACAGTATCTTGGTTTGAGCAAGTAGGAAAGCTCATCAATTCTGGATCACCCGCAAACAGTTATCCAGTTTACTTACAGTGTAGTGTAAGTAAAATGGCGTCTGCTGTAGAAAGGACTGCTGACTTTTATTTATTTTTTCATGAATGGAGATCATGTTGCTGGAAGTTTCGCTGCTGCTCAGACTGGGCAGCTTCCTGCGACTGAACTCCGGGCAAAGCTGTTAAATCCACCATGTCGAAGCCGCTTTGCTCTGAAACCAGTGAAGCTAATCTAATGATGGTGTTAATTTTTTAGACTATTCTAGTCTGAAAACCCACTTTCCAGACTAATATGGCAGTTTGTTTAATCCTGCCTCATGTTATTAGCAGATGCGAATAGTTACTAGTTACATGTACTCAGTTACATTGGCTGGAGCAAAAATAATTTCTCTGTAGTTTTACTTCTTACTTTTACTTGAGTAACCAGTTGTGTAGTTGTAAAAATAAAAGAAGAGGGATGGTGGAATTTCTTTTTTTTTTTTTTTTAAGCATACATAGCCTAATTAATATAGTCTATTAACGTAATGCTACGTTCACACCTAAAGCAACAGAGGCAGCAGAAGCAGCTTACATGCAAAGTCAATGGTTGATGCGCATCAAGGCGCAGCAAAAGGTCTTACAGTGCATCTGAGCAGCTGAAGCAGCGCCTCATCAGCTTCAGAGCATCTGATGTGCGCAACACAGAAGCAGCAGGTGCTGTAGTTGGAAAAAATTTAACTTTTGCTGCTCGACGTGCCACATCATCCAATCAGAGAAGCTGATCTGGGAGCTGGCAGGGAGACAGAGAGCACTGCTGATGCAGATCGCTATGATCACTCCTCTGAAAATTAACTGTTTAACTTAAAAATTAACTTAAAATATTGAAACCTGCCGGCAAAATATGTTAAATTTTATTATTCTGGTGCCTGCAGTTTGGATTCCATACGTGAAAAACGCCTTCCAGTAGCGGAAAACCGTGAAGAGGCGGCCAGCCCAGAGGCTGCTGTTGAACGGGATTCCTAATGACAGAGCACGGCCGGTGTACAGGGGTCTGAGCGGCTCCGACAGAGAAATAATATTTGAAGGCAGGATGGTAATCTGGATGAACTGACTGCACTGATGAAGTTTTCAGGTGGACTTTCGCACTTAAAAACATTAAAACTACTTTTTACCACTTATAACAGCAAATATATCTGCCATTGTTACAGGCAAAGGAGTAGGGTAGCTCCGCCCAACGCGCATCAGACTCACTTTTCGATGGCGCAGCTGTAGCAAAGATGATTCAGCCACGCGTCAGCACTAAACTTATAAAGGCATCAAAAATGTCCCCTGGTGCTCGCCTCGGTGCTCTGGGGGGGGGCACGCCTTTGGCTCTTTACAACCACTATTGAGCATTTTTCCTTTGGATAAACTTTACAAGCACAAGTGCACTCTCACAAACAACTACAGGTGCTTGATTCCAGGCACTTAGAGATTCACTTCCATACAGAAAGCCAATATTCTTATCTTCAGCTACCACAGTATACATGTCAGATTAAATAACACTAGATATACTTCTGCGATAGTATCGAGGTGCCACTTTATTGTATCTCTTATACTATATCTGTTGGTTGTGTTGTTCTTTTTACATCTCTTTACAGGTGATGAAACAGACTGAAGAGGTTTTATCATTACCTCCCTTTTATCTCCTCCTCTTTCATCTTTTCTCATTTTTTCCTGTTTTTCCTTTCCTGTTCTACTTACTCATTGCAGTGTCCATATAATCTGTAATACTCCCTGAATGAATTATAATAAAGCTATTTATCTTAATAAATCAAGCGTAACACTATGGCGATAAACCCTAACCCTACTGCTCCACTTGTGAAAGCAAAATCTGTTGGCCCCGTTTTTGGCATCAAGACAATTATTCTTATTGCCACATTGCTAGGTAGGACACTGTTGACAAGAGAAAAGAACTGTTATGGCGACAGTGGCGTCGGGTGCTGGAATTTGCCCTGCAATATCAGAGTTTTCGGTTCAAGCCCCGGCTCAGGCTTTCTGTGTCGTGTCCTTGTGCAAGAGACTTCCCCTGTATTGCCTACTAATGGTGGTCAGAGACACTCAGTGACACCAGTGTACGGCAGCCTTGCCTCTGTCAGTGAGCCCCAGGGCAGCTGTGGCTACAATGTAGCTTGCAACCATCAGTGTGTGAGTGAATGACTGAATGTAGAGTAAAGCCCTTTGGTCAAGTCTCCTGACTTAAAAAAGCGCTTTATAAGTACAGGCTGTTTAACAGTTACTACTTCGGTATAGGTTTTAGGGAATACTTAAAGTACTCCCTGTTTTAACATCTGTTAACATCTGTTTTAATGTTTAAAATCAATGTATTCGTAGAACCTTTATGTGCAACATCTGGTACTTTAGGGAATACTTTTAACTCCTGCTGAGTATTTAGTATGATGTCTATGTTTTACTTTTACTTGAGTAAAAAGAATGATGTGGTTGTGGTACTCTGACGGATCTCTTGCAGGTTTGCGAACAATCATACTGATAATAACATTTTTAAAGTGTGGCTTATCCCATTTCTTCACATATAGGGTCAATTTTGCTTGGGAAGATGTATCCCTCTAATAGAAGAGGGAATCAGTTAAAGACTGAATCTTGTACTTCCAATCGTTGTCTGAAATTAAAGGGAAATTTAAAACACTGAATTGGGACGAAAACAAAAATCTAAAAGGGGGTTAACACTTTTACATGACCGTGCACTTGATTCATAGCTGATTATGAAATCTCTCTATATACAGCTAAAACTGTCCAGGTTTACATAACTCTTTGCTTTAGTGGTGAGTCACTGTTCATTTCTGTTAAAACATTTATGTTACATAATTTGTTGCATTTTTATGAAGTTTTTGCATGTCTCATAGAGTACCTGTATAACTTAATGAATCATTCATTAAGCAAGTATGTGACCTTCGTTAATCAGAAGCCCAGATTTTCCGTTTATAAGAAGACTGTGTGTATGTACAATTAGGAAGCAGGGAGAAAATATATTAAGATGAAGGTAAGCTCTGAAAAGAATAGAAATTAACAATGGAGAGGGAGACCAATGAACAGGCAGGGTGGAAGTAATTAAGATAATGTCATGAAGGAGTTGTGACAGAAGAATGTCTGGAAAAATAACAAACTCTTAGTCGACCTACTATTTTGTCTGATTTGGAGTCGGAGGAAAAATGCAACAGGGCTCAACAAAACGGACTGGAGAAAAAAGAGTGCATCTGAAGGAGAGCTGAGGGGAAGCAGTTTGTAGAGAAAGTTAAAAAAGATTTAGATGCTGTGTGTAAAGGAGGGATTTTGGACTTTTTGGATGAAGACGAAGAAAGGTAAAAAATGTGGTGAATTCATAATTGGCTATTAGCTGACATATTTCTCGAAGGTTACGTCTCATTGCTTCGAACAGGTCTTTCCCAGCTTCAAAGGGTGCAGTCCTGCAGGTTTTAGATGTTTCCCTGCTTCAGCACAGCTGATTTCCATCGATAGCTGAATAACAGAATGTTGCTGAACTGCAATCTCCTGAATCAGCTGTGCTGAAGAAAAACAATGAAAACTTGCAGGACAGGAGCCCTCAAGGACGGACTTTGGACATGCCTGGCTAAAAAAGAAAATCTGAAGTTGAAGATGTTGTTTTGCTCTATGTGTGCAAGTGATCTCACATAGGGCGCTGTGTACTAGGGTGATGGCTGCTAATTGGTAGGTCATAGTAATTGAAAGTGACTTAGAGAAACATTTGCTAAAGCCAGACTCTTTGAAAAGTTAGAACTGGGGCAACTGAGAAAATGTCTCACAATCATTTTTCTTACTCAGGTAACGTAACATTTTCATACCCTGCATTCACATCGAACGCAAATTATGTACCTGGAGTGACTGATTGATAGTTTAGTCCTATATAAAGGCGATGTGAACAGTTTGAGCTAACAGAGTGAAAAGCAACCCCCAGACACATTAATTTTGGTGGAGTTCAAACATTTATACTTTTTTTTCGAATCTTGTTACATCAACCATTCAAAGACTTGATGTTTTGGTGAAAGAGCCCAGCGGAGACCGAGCTTTTTTAATCAAAATGTGAAGATAGAAAAATATGTAAACAAGGAAGTAAGGAATGCTCTTAAGAGGGGTGGCTGTTTTAATATAGCCCTTACAGGGACTTTAAAATCATTCATTAATCGTCCTCCTCTTGTAGCTTCAGAGCTGGTCCAGGCCAGCAGCCACCTCTTTTCCGCTCTGATGCACCCCTGCTCTGATTTTCTGCTGTCCTCCCTGATGACCCCGTTTCCGCATTATAAACAGCAATGGGACTCACTTGGTAAAATTCAGGTCCACCATATTGAGCCAACAGGCAAATGGATTGATGTTCCTCCTAATTGGTGTAAAGTGAAGTGCAGAGAAGGGGGGTGTGGAGCCATCAAGTCATCTTCATGTCAGTTATTTGTTCTGTCCAGCCACTGAAACAGGTGAGTCCAATATGCGCAGGGAATTGTATCATACAGATTGGACTCACCTGGTTCACTGGCTGTACAGAATGGAGATGACTTGATGGCTCTACATCTCTGATGAAGCATTGTCCCGCCTGGCAGCGGAAATTTCTGGCATAATGTCAAGGGAGCAACAGCACGGGATTGAGGTGAAGAATTAGCTGGAATCATGTCTGATATGAATGAACCCTAACAGAATAGACTGATAAATAATAATTAGACCTACTCCAGGGTTCCTCATCCTCTGCTCCTGTATGCGTCAGTTCCATTGTAGAACACCTGTTAATAATGGATAATAATTGAACTTTATTGATCTTACACTCAGTGTTGTATTCATCAACGATGACGTAACGAAATAATTTCCTTGATTCATTCATGACGATAACAAAAACTGACTTGCTAAACATGGATCTTTGATGACTAAAACACGGAGAGTCATAGGTTTGAGTTTTAGTTAACGAGACGAGACTAAATAAAAAAAAGCGGGTCATTGGTCAGACGTTTAAACTGCATAATCCTGCCGCTGGGGTTGCCAACCGTCCCTTGAAAACGGAATAATTCCGTATTTAGAAATAGAAGAACCTGTCCTGTATTTAGTGGAAAAGGAACGCACTTTGTCCCATATTACTGTGAGAGTTAGAAAATAGTCAGTAAAAAGCTAATGGAAAATGAAGAACAAGGGCACATTAGATACAAAACTTACGGTAAACTTGTTCCCAGGCCCTGTCCTGTGCGGTGACCAAAAAGCTGACAACATATATGTAACAATCCAGAATACCTTCATCCCATTGGTAGAGTCAAGTGTTGCTCATGGAGAAGATAGCGGGAGACAACAGAGGAGCCTAAGCATGTCCATGGATGATCTGAATGAAGAATGTATAACTGCAAACAGTCTTTTGGAGCACCTTTCTGTCAGGATTCCTGTCTGTGTGTTTGTGTTTCTGTGTTTGTCTACCTTCCTCCTGGTTCTGGTCCGCCTCCTCACACACCTGCAGAAGATTACCTCGTTAACAGAGTGTTCTTAAGCTGCTGACTGCCACTATCTCGACCCCAGAGTGTTTGCCAGTTTTGGGTACTCTAGCCAAGCTGAGTTTTGCTGAGTCAAACTGAGTTCTTGTTTTAATCTTTTAATCTTGTTTTTGTCTTTGCCTCTCGACAGGACGTCATCCTGCAAACTGGATATTTTCTGACCTTCTCTCCCTGGAAGGATCATCTGAGCTTCAAACTGAGCTAAGGATTTATACTGAAAGGTTTGAATCAGTTTTTCCCCAAGAGATCGTTTGAGCTTCACACTGAGCAAGGGATTCATCTCCACTACGACCCGTTCAAGTACCGCAGGAAATCTGAGTCGCAGTCAGCTTCTCCGTTTACCTCCAAACAACCGCATTCTGGGTAGATCCTGTTCTGCCCTCCACCGAGTCAGACAAACACTGTAAAAACAGCACACAGACTGGAGTCAAAGAGTAAACAACTTCTCTGGAAACGTGAGTCAGCAACCAAATCCTCCTCTTCAAGTTCACGAATGAAATTTCCCTCTGAGCCTGAACTAACCGCAGTGTCTTCCCCTCATCTTTCAGTTCCAGTTGAGCAGTGTTCAGAGCAACAATGGATTCTTCACAATCACTTAATAAACCTGTTAAACCTTTTTCTGTTTGGTCTTCTGCATTTGGGTCTGATCTTTAGTAAAATCATGACACTTTCTCAGGAAAATAAAACCTGGCAGTCCAAAGGAACAGCACAAAGGTGGATGGAGGTTCTTCAGGCAGCTGTCCTTCCCAACCTCCAAGCTGCTGTGTACTTTGTCCTCAGCATCCCATCTTCCACTGGTTTTGTGGAGAGGATTTTCTCCTTAATGAAGAACAAATGGACTGATGTGCAGAATAAATGTTTCACTGAATTGATTAAAGCTGAGCTCATTGTCAGCCTCAATCATGATCTGTCTCTGCAGCACCCTTCGACAAATATGTTTTTAGGTTTGCAAAAGTTTGCAAAGAATGTGCACTATTTATCTATTGTTTTATATACATTTTTACAGTCTGAAGTTAAGCAGGACAGGCTTATGTTTAAGATATTTATTTTATTCAGCAAAGTTTGTCATTTTGTATTACAGTGTATTGCTGGATAATAATTTGTTTTTCACATGTTCATGACAAATATGCATTTAATTCAATGCAGATTTGACGCAAATATTTAAAAAATTCCTTTGACACACAAATAGGCTAAAAAAGAATCACCATGCCAGGAGAGGTAAAGGCAGTTGGATCAGCTGGCATGCACATGAGGTGTCCCTTTTTTTTCAGGGAGTTGGCAACGATACCTGCTGCTCACCTGCTACACATGCTGCAGGAGAACAGATGGATCATGGCAGCAGCTGCAGGGTCTGAGAAAATAACCTGGAAGGGTCCGGTACTGCGTGCTGAACTCTGACAAACTGCTCCGATCTTCCATCTGTGCTTGTACAGAAATCGTGAAGCGAGTCTGCGCTAGCAGTATGGCTCTTCCATCACTACTTAATAAACTTTGTGGCTGATCATCCTCTGCCAAGCATTTAAAAAAAAAAAACCTTTACTATCAATATATTATTCTTCCAGCTCACAAGAGGAGATACTAAACATTCTTTAAGGAATCCCTAAATTATATCCAAATAAAATATTTCATTGCATTCTGTTTTTTTTATAAAGAGCCCAATGAAAAGGTGCAGAGATCTTTAAATATTTCTCTCTGATTTTTCTCGTTTCTGTCTATTTAAATATGATGTAAATGTTTCCTTGTATTGTCATTAAAACATTTTCTATTTTTACTTAAAGTATTTAAACATTTTAGTTAGCACATTTATTCGATTTAGGTTTGCATTGTCATGGCAATACAGGGCAATTATATAGTTTCTCTCTGTATT